ATGTATATGTATATGTATATGTATATGTATATGTTTATGTATACACACACATGCATTTTAAATATTTTCCCTAAGATGTAATTTATTTATTTTTTAATTAAATTAATTACCTTTTAAAAGGTAATTAATTAAAATTAAATTAATAAATTAAAATTATGAGTTGTGCATCTTATAATTTGAACTATAAATCCAACATGAGAAACAAGCAGTTTCAGAAAAGGTTAAAGCACTGATTATCACTGCTTTATTTTACATTTTATGTGCACTTTATAAAGCTCTTATCTACCTTGACTCAAAGCAGTTTCTGGGAAAAAACTTTAGCTAACAAATATTGATCATAGACATCTAATCCCTTACTAAACCACTTTGTAATGAACATAGTCAAAGATAATGGGGACAGAATAAGTACCTCTCTAAAGCCCTTAGTACAGTGAAAGACATGAATCAAGAATGCTTATTTACTGTCCTCTATTCTTTTTATTTTTATAATAATGAATAGATCCAGAAATTAGTGTAAGCGAATTCTGTTTCACAGGAAAATATATGTTCTGATGTAAACAGGTGATCTTGTGTTATTTTCTCAACTTGGACTTTGTTTGGATTTCTTTTAGTAATGCCTCTTGTAAAATAAATAATTCTCTATTGATTGTTCCAAGTTCAGGTCTTTAATGTTTGGAAAACAAAGGCCAACAAGGTCATTGGTACATTCTACAGTTAAAAGAACACTAACTGTACTGAGAGTACAAAGGGGATAATTTAAAAAAAAAAGTTAGTCACTGCTAGACAATTGGGACTAAAAATCTTACCACGATGCTGTTGTCACCTGATGTAATATTTAAAATAAAAAGCAACTGAGAGACAAGAAGGAAGGAACAAGTACAATTCTCCAAATTTTCAAACTAATTTCATTTATTTAAACAAAAAAAATTACACTTATATATTCAACTATGTCATTTTTCTGATACATTAAGGAATACTTTGATGTAGTTATATCGCAAAAAACCCCTGCTTACTGGTATTGGGTGCATGTTGGAAAAAAAAATCTAATAGATCAAAAAATAACCATGTATTATCCTGCCTCTTATACATCAAATAAAGAAAGAGATGTTTGCATTCTCTGTTAATCAGTTGTACTTTATTTACCCCAGTCAATATTCTATATTTCTTCTTGAGGGATTAAAATCCATATATTAGATACAAGGTAGTATTACTTGTTGAAGTAGCATGGAATATCTAAGATTGCAATAAATCACAGTGATTGCAATAAATTGCTTTGGCCATGTGAAAATCTAATAAAAACTGCCTATGCTGTAATGTATTTGCTGTTTATTGATTACAGACTGAAACAATTTTCTGGCTGTTTTAAGTTTTAAAGGCATTCATTTTTATTTTACAGTATTAGCCATGGCTAGTCCAAGAAAAGGCTGGCTGTTTGGCCTGCTTGACATAAAGTGGTAAACTTCTTGGCTAAAAGGTAGCATTGTAAATAAATTAAGGAACAATTCATTATTTCTGGTGAATCATTATTAAAATAAAGGTGTTCTGCCTCACAAATATACATTACTCTATTCAGTTAATTTTTATTTTCATTGTTAAGTGCAAAAAAAGAGAGTGGAAAGAAACAAAAACATAATTTTCTTAAAATATATTTTTGTAACAAATTTACCTTGACATTGTTGGATGTGGATAGGGCAGATTTATTACATACCAACCTGACATTCAAAAACAGCAGCTGGAGCAACTTGTTTCCTATGTGGGTAATGAATTAGACATTTAAAGTTTGACAATAGATGAGTGATGCACTTGCAGGTCAAGCAAACAAAATGTTTTGGCCCTGTCCAGAAGTATGAATCATTAGAATTTGAAGCAAGATGAAGAAGGAAAAGTCTTGATTTTTAGAATGCTGAGGCTCTATTGATGCACATTCTCTCTCTCTCTCTCTCTCCAGTGTTTCGTTGTGCGCTCCTTAGGCTGGGTTGAGATTCCTGAGGAGGACTTGGCCCCAGGCAAAAGCAGTATTGCCGTGAATAATTGCATCCAGCAACTTTCTCAAAGCAGTTGTGACCATTGGGGCCCTGCTGATAGATGGGGTGAGGTGAGTGCCTAATGTATACAACTCCAGGAAAAAATATTTGCTCTAGGTGAACACATGTTTTCTCTTGGCAAATTCCACCGTCCCCCTTTCTGAATGCAGCCATTAATTCCTTGGACTCCACTGTTCTTGTATTTCCTTTTATTCCTTGACCTGGAGGCAGGTTGGCACCCGAGGGTGCTTCCACTCCTGTTTCCAGAGGCCTCTCTTCTGTTCCATCGTAGCCTGATCCCATTATGTTTGGCTAAATGGCTCTAGGGCATGTAGATTTTTAAAATTGGGCTTTATATTCAGTTTCTACCAATATAAAAAGCAGAGCCTTGAAAGTTAAAGTAGTACGTTAAGCAAAATGGCTGGTACAAAGAGGAAAGGCAGTGGGGTATAGTCAGTTAAAAAAAAAAAATCTGTTTGATGTTTTATTATTTAATCAGCTGAGCGATAAAGTATGGGATGACCCAGTCCCTTTTTCAAAAACATATATGGCAGCAAAGGACAATTTTATGAACTGCTGGGCGGGAGGTGAACTTGACATGGCCAAGCTCATCTCCCTCTCCCCAAGACACTAACTGAAGTTGTCAATGCAGCCTGGTTCTTCCTGAATAAAAAAAAAACCACCGCAGCAGAAAACCCAAAGTGTGTGGGTGTGGCAGTCAGGGAAAGTTGGAAGTCTGGAGAATTGGGAATAGAGAAAGTGGGAGAATGTCTGGAAAAATGTCTGGAAGCCTTAGGAACAGCTCAACTGAAAGAAAAGGCAAGCAAGGAAGCCCAGTGATCAAAGCCAATTACAGTGTCTGCAGCAGAACCAAACAGCCACAGCCATCTGAAGCAGACCTACAGAAGACACCAAGGGCAGAAAATCAAGCCCAGGTCCCAACTGAATCTCAAGGCATGGTACAAGTAAACAGAAACTCTGGGCCGATGGTGCATAGCTCCAAACCATTGAAAGGCCTGAACTAAACCCCAAAGTCCTGGTAAGCAGGCCAGTTGCAGGGAAATGTGGAAGAAGACCTAAAAGAAGGCCAAACTCAGTAGACCACTAGTTTCCAAGAGGTCCTAACCCAACTTTCCATAGACTAAACTAAAACAGACTGGGGGAGGAACAGGACAGAAAAAAAGCACCATAATCTCTTAATAAAAGTCCCCACCCATAAGTTCCTCCTGCTTTTGTGTGTCTATCTTAAAAAGCTGTGCAAAGAGGAATTTGTAGCACATGTACAGCATTACAGTGAGATTAATAGCTCCATCTATGTGCTGTTAAACCCCTGCTATTTCATTCCGAACTCCATCCCCCCCAGACCTTCCCAACCAGTCTAAGCCAACAGCAACAGGGAGGTGACTGGTCCTGCCTCCTGTACTGGCCTAAGCAGGAAAATTCAAAAGACTTTGAAGGTAAAGCAACCCTCCAATCACAGCTGCCAGAATAGCACAAAACACTTGAAACAGCTTGGGTCAAAATGGATGCATTTGTTCCCTATTCAAAACAAAATAATCAAAATGCAGGTACTGTATTTTGTTCCAAGAGCAGACTACTAGGCTTTGCACTAGAACTGTTTTTCTTAGACTCTGTGAATGAGTTTAGATAAATTTATGCTAAGAGCTCCGGTGTTTCATATAATAAGGAGCTATTCAATCACTGCTGTTAGCTTTCATTCCCAATTACATTGATAGAGATATGAAGTTGCCTTCATCCAGAAATGAGAGCCAGGAGAATTATGCCTTTTCACATATGCTAAGGAACTTTCTCTTTTATAGATACCATAGGATAAGCATTCCAATCACAGTCCTTCCTCATTGGTACAGCTTTTGCTAAGCAAGGCTTAGGCCGAGGGATTTTCATTCCTGCACCACTCACACTTCTTTGGCCTTCCTTTACAGGGCCAAAACATGGTGATGATTCTCAAGGAGGACACAATGAACTTAGTGGATCCTTTGGATCACAGCCTCATCCACTGCCAGCCCATCATCAATATCCGTGTTTGGGGCGTGGGCTGCAACAATGGCAGGTGAGTAATCATGGGATGGGAGGAGAAAGGGGACCTTCTTACTGAAGTAGAACTCCAAGGGCAACTTTTCAGTCTGTGTGTTGTACCTAGTGAGTGTATTAAGCCATAGGTGCTGTGGGGTGCAAAAGTGAGGAGTGAGGATTATCCACCACCACCCTGACCTTCCCATGGGGCCCTCTGCTCCTTCTTCCTACTCTTACTAAATGGGATCACCACCTGTTCCCAGGCTATTAACAGGGTAGCTGCTTCAGATGCTCTTCATTAACCACTCTTTTTTCCCCCTACATGCTATGCTTGATCAAGGGACAGGTAAGTTCCCCTCTTCCTCCTGAAGCAAAGCTAGTGCTTGGAGCCCTGCTCTTGCTCACTGGGCTCTCCTCTCCTTGCAGGGATTTTGCTTTCGTGGCCAGTGACAAGGACACGTGTGTGCTGAAGTGCCATGTCTTCCACTGCAATGTGCCTGGCAAGGCTATTGCCAAAGCCCTGCATGAAATGTGCTCCAAGGTATCCCTCCTGACTTGTAGCACAGTTCTTTACATTTATACATGAACATGCACACACACACACATCACATGCATGTGCACACAGACCCACGTACGCTATATATGGAGTTGTGGTTCTGAGATGTACTTTTAGTGCAGCGTCAAGAGTTTTGAGTGCTGTAAATAAGTAACAGATGGGTTAATGTCAGTTATGTTTCATTCTGCAGGAGTGGGAGACAAAATGAATATTGAAATATTCTGTCTCTTTATATACTTTCCAACTCAATGGAAAAAAAAAATATGTAAAGGGGGTCGAGACTCTGCCAGTCTGTCTCTACATGAAAATTCTCTGAAAACCGAACAGATGAAGTTGGGAGGGTAGAGACAAACAATCCTGAAAAATCCCCCCAAAGATCCTCCTGGGAGATGCAACTGGGTCGTGGCTTGGACCACTTCCTGGTCACATGACTCAGAGTATAGCCTATACAGTCCACTTGAGCTTCCTAGTGTACACAAACATTCAGATGTGACACATTACTTCATTACACAGAAGAAGACAGAGACACCTCCTATGGCCACTGCTGCTGAAGGGGTCAGAAAGAATTCCAGAAGCCACGCTCTGCATGTTTTCCCTTGTTACCTTCCCCAGTCTTACCTGCTACCTGTATTTGCTGCAAGCTCTCTGTTCTTATTCCTGGCAGCAGTGAGAGTTTATTCTCTCGCAACTGTACTTTTACTGCTTATTGTACAAATGTTTACAGACTGCATCACTTTATTGTAGTCCTGAATAATTGCAAACAGTTTATGTTGTGGAGTTTTTGGTGTTCTCTGAGCTTGGTTGTTTGCTTGCACATGTTTCGTTATCCGACTAGGTAACATCATCACTCGCACTGAGCTACAGATATTCTCTTCTATAGTTTATATTTGCAGACTAAAAGCTGTCTGGATGAAGCAGAAATGAAAATACTTCAAACTTCATGTAGGAAAACTGCATGAAAGGGCAAACCTTGTTCCTCTTGAGAATACAATACCAGAGGAGAAGGGCAAAGATACCCAGGGACACATAAATGCCATGCTTAGAGGTGGTGAAACTTTAGTGAAGGATTGGTGAAGAAAGAAAAGGCAGCTTTTATAACAGCTTTACTTCTTGGTGGCTTACTTGAAATGTACAATGCCTTCATTCGTGGATAAGAGACAAAGCTGAAGGTACAGGTAGTATTTCATTTTTTAAAACACACAGTTGCAGATTTTTTTGCATAGAAGGAGTTATCAGAATAGTATATCCAGTCCACCTTCCCTTGAACTCTCAGAGCAGAGAGATACAGATATTATATTATGTCATGCCCCCATATACAGGGTTTACATAACTTCTCTCTTTTTTATATAGTGTATATCCTGTGTGGTATTCTTACTTTACATTGACCACCAGGAGATACTGCGTGCTAGGACCTGGATAGCTCGTAAAGGTAATAATGCACTGTATATAGTCATCTAAAGTGGGAAGGTCCGAGACTGCAATCACTGGTAGAACCCCATAGAATAACATCTGTCTACTCACATCTGAGGAGCTGCAATAAGGACAAAACCAGTTGCATGACCTGATGGTCAATGCAGCATAGAAAAAGGCAATTATATTCAGAATAAAAAACAGCAGATCACTACAGATAACAAAGCATGCAAGAAAGAACAGAGAATTTGCTATAAGAATGAGTACAGAAAACAGAGCAGCTTGGGAGAAATTAACAAACAGACAGAGTCAGAACAAGTAAAAATGAAGGGGGAAAGAATGGAGTGGAATTTTTTAAATAGCACAGGAAAAGTTGGTGAATTAGTTCTGAAACTCTCAAGCAGTGCCAGATTTAGACTTGGAGAGGCCCTAAGCTATATAAAGCTTGGAGGCCCCTTGCTAAAAAGTTTTACCAGAAGGTCTCACTAAGGTGTGTATCAAAACAGGACCTTGGGTTGCCAGAAAAAAAATTGAAAACATATACAGACTGTCCTCTACGTACAAATAGGTTATGTTCCAAGAGCTGTTCAGAAATCCATTTTGTCTGTAAGTCCAACTATGGTGTGCCACATATGTACACCCGGAAGTTTATGGTGCACCGCATATATAAGTATGTGCACCGTAAACTTCCGGGCATACATATATGATGCGCTGTACACTTCCAGGTATATGTACACATGCACACCGTAAACTTCCAGGACCTTCCTTCCAGGACCTTCATTGTTGGAGTGGTTAGAAGTTTGTTTGTATTGGTGAAAGTTCGTAACTCGAAAGTCTGTAAATAGAGGACTATCTGTATATGCCTTTTAATTATTTAATAGCAAGATATTTAAAACGACTAATACAAATTATTTCCAAATGAATACATTTACTGATTACATGTTTATCATTTGACTGGCTTTATCTCTCTCACAGATTATAACATAGTATATCCTGGAAACAATACTTAAATGTAATTTTAAAAATAATTTTAAGATACATTAATATATACACAAAATGCTGACAAAATAAGTAATTGGTATCCCTTTTATTAATATAAGCAATAATGAACTCATTTGCAAAATCAGAAAACTGATATTCTGAAATTTTGTGACGCCCTGTGGATTGTGAGGCCGCAGCTGAAGCTTGTTTAGCTTATGCCTAAATCCAGCACTGTTCTCAAGGCATATGACAAATTATAACAATTTCTTTTGAAATGGACTTTTTGCAAATTGTAGATGTAAATTACAAGAAGTTCTAATGTTTTATCTTTTTTGAGCCTCTCTTGTAAATAATCATGGCAATCGTGTTGATCTATTTTCCATTTCATGGGTGGCTACTGTATTTTGAGAAACACTTGATTTAAGCCCCACTTGTGTATTTCTGTTGTATGTCTGTCTTCCGCATCTGAACAGATGCAGTAATCATGTAGGTTGACTGTAAACAAGAGATTTTGGTTATGCTCTCGATGGAAGCTATAAGTGATCAGTATATGTAGCAGCCAGCTTATTTTCTATATACAGTACTGCTTATATTTCTGCTGCACAGTTTCACAGTTTCAGCAGAATGACCTGCTGTATGAGCAGGTCTAGATGACAGATGGTGGGCTGAACACTCCTGAAGTCCTGATGAAATCTGGCCAGGGCCCTCTGCCTATGACGGTTATCTAATCTTCAGTGTAGAGAACAGGTTTGGGAATGGGCAGGGGTGATTAAAGTGTTGTCAGATGTAATAATGGTGACATATTGTGGTGCAGAGGATTTCATTTAAATAACATTGACTTTAATAATTGCTCAGGAAGACTCAGTTTTAATTATTTAAATTACTACCAGGAAGATTTTGTTTATTCTTTTAATAAAGGAAAGACCACTCTTGTTGTTTGCTGAAACCTTGATACATATTCATTAGTTCTCAAAGATAGATGTAAGTTTCATTTTTAGGAAGCAGGTATAAACATTACAAAGTAGCAATAATTCAGATTTTTTTTCAGATTGATTTTCATTAAAAATTGGATTATGATTTGATCATTTCATTTCATAAGAAACCTGATAGACAATTGTGAGACCTATAGGAATTGAATCAGCTCTAGTTCAGTTAGAATTAAATGTACTGTATATGTGTGTGTATATGTATGTATGTGTGTATGTATATACTGTATATACACATACACACACATTGATAATGATATGGTAGGATAGAGATAATCAACCTGTGGTACTGTAAATGCTGCTTTACTATAATTTCTAGCATTCCTTACTATTGGCCAAAATGGCTGGAGTTGCTGGGAGTTGTAGTTTTGTAATATTTGCAAATGCTACAGGTTGTCTATCCCTATTGTACAAGAATCATGATTCCCATTATCAAACAGGCTTTTAAATTGTAGTAATAAACTTTTCATTTGGGTTAGTTTTTTTCCAACTATCAAAAAATATTTCAACAAGCACATACATCACTCAAAATATGTATTTTTAAAAATAAAATTAAATAGGCAATTTCAGTCAAATCAAGATAAAAATCTTAAAATGTTGGATGATTGGTACAATTAAAATAGCCTTCTTCATCTTCACCTGCTTGTTGAAGCGTTTTGCTTTTCCCATTCCCAAATTATTTTTCAGTTTAGAATAAATTAGTCCAAAGGAAGAAAACAACTCTCTCTATATATGCAAAAGAGGCAACTGCTCATTAACTGAGTTGTTCCCCCAATAATTTATTTTAAAATGGGTGATCTTAAATTTGCTGACTGTGTGCAGACAAATAAGATTATTTCTGTCTGATTTTCCTTTTCTTGAGGGAGATAATTTTAGATTCATAGTTTCCTTTTCAAATAAATGTGATCCACAGACTTCTCCTTTACTGGAGCTACTCCATTCACTAAATTTTATATACATTGACTTTCTTTGTTTTTTCACTTTAAGAGAAAAAGTGAAAGAATGAGATTGATCAGGTCTGTTATCTCTCATCTACATTGCTATCAGCAAGTATATTCCTAGAATGTAGTTAGAAGATGTGATTGCAGTTTCTGATGTTATCCAATGATATGGTATTTGAAGAGTGCTATCAAGAAGCCCCTTCATTTTGCACATCACTTTAAAAATGTTAAAATGCTATTTGAATTTAAAAAAATAAAAAATCAATTAAAATATTAAAACTCTGATTTTTGTTGTTTGTTTTTAAACCATTGGTTCTTGTCTTCCCTACTATGGTGCCATGTTGCATTGGTTGTTGCATTGATCTGAAGATCATATTTACCCAAAACAGAAGTAATTGTGGATGACTACAAATTGATGTTGCTTGATGTAAAATGAAAGAATCCTAGAAGTATAGAGAGGGGCCTTTTAGGCCATCAGGTCTAGCCCCCTGCCCAGTAGAGGAATCCAAATTAAGGCATATTCAACTCTGCTTGGGCACATCCAGTGTTGGGGACCCTACTACTTTTCTTGGTCATTGGTTCCACTGTTTACAGTAAAACAGTTTTTTCTTGACTTTTAGTTAAAATCTGCCTTCAGGTTGCTTAAATCCATTATTCTGTGTCCTGAACTCTAGAACTCTGATGAAGCTAGTTTAGTTGAGGTGCCTGGGCCATGATCTTGTGATGTTATTATGTGGGGTGAGTTTGAGTCTGTGACTCCTGATGAGGTGGACAGGGTCCTTCAAACTGTGAGTTCAGCCACCTGTTAGACCCAGGTCCCTCCTGGATTGTTAAGGTGACCCAGGAGGTGATTTGTTGGGTCCATGCAATGGTATCAGCTTCTTTGAGAGAATGGGGTGATTCCTTTGGCCTTGAAGGCAGTGGTGTTGTGCTCCCTGCTCAAGAGGCCATCCTTGTACCCAATGATTTGGGGTAACTATTGACCTCTCTCCAGCCTTCTTTTTGGGGGTTAGGTTGTTAAGAAGGTGGTTGGACAGCAGTTACAAAGGATCCTAAAGGAATCTGTTTATTTGGACCTGTTTTAGTTGAGTTTCAGGCCAGGAGTCACTATGGAGATGGAATCGGTCATGTGATTGAAGCTCTGCCTGTTTTTTATGTGCATAGTATTTACCATACCTTGTGAACATCCCTAGTAGTCATCAAAGTGTACAAAGTGTGCAGCCTGCTCTCATTTTGTGAACATTAGCCGTTTGTCCCAGTTGGTTTGTTGTTCTGAAAAACTTATTTTGAACCATGCTGTCCACTGGCTTCATCAGAACTAAGCTTCTAGTGGTTGCTAATCAAGCAGTAAAGCGAAAAAGTAAGTTGCAGCCTGAAATCTGTGTACCTGTTAGTAAGCTCAGCTAACCTATGTTGGAGTTATTTCTGAGTAATCAAACAGAGGATCAGATTACATTTGTTGAATGAAAGGGACTTGTTATTTGAGTTTTTATTTCTGCCTATACAGATCCAGAGTGTTGTAGCTGTCCTTCCTTTTCCACGTAGCCCTCTCAAGGCAGGACTTTGTTCCTGAGTTTTACTATGAAACCACACTAAGTTAAGCTGTAATGGCTTTTTTCTATATTGTAGATCATGGCTGAGCAAGCAGTGGCAAGTAATAGCCTCACTCGATCCGTCACCCTTGAATCTATCTCTCCAAATGACATATCTCTTCAAGGTAACAAGATTCTAAAACCAAGTCTGTTTAATTACATGCATTTTATTTTTCCTTACAATTACAGAAATGCAGCAATTATTCCTTGGGCTGTCATCTAAAGAACGCTTACTCTTTATCTTACCCTGAAAAGAACCTCTGCATAGGGATGAAAGATCAAATAACACAAAATGCAATTTCTCTGTATAAAGATGATTCACTGAATTTCACTTGGCTTGGTCGCTTGGTGTCTTTATCTTTGGATGGATCTTGTCTGGCCTTCACAGAATCTTATGCGTGGTAAATTGTCTCACTCAATAGGAACGGAGGTCTCTCATACCTTTCCTGATGCACCATGAACTAAACTGCAGTTGCAGGAAATAGTAGATTGCCATGGTGTCCAATTTGAAAATACACAATTGAATGTCAGCTATAATTGTGGAACAATTCAGGAAATGGGTGGGAAGTCAGAGAGATCGTCAGTGAAGAACACATCAGCTGGCTACCTGTGCCAACAAAACATGACCAAAAGAGTTACTGCCAGGTTGAAGTCCCTGTGTTCTGGCAGTCTGCAGAGAGGGGTTTCACTGGTAGTCTTTGTTTTCAAACAAGGAAGGAACTGGTGTGATCTTGATTGCCCCCTTAATATAACCTACAATGCAGTATTTGGTACCTCCTATAAAAACTTGCATTTCTTAGATAGATGGCAGTCTTAGGGACCAATGAATGAACTCAGTGGGACTTACTTTGGGATCACATTGAAACACTGATTACTCATTCCATTTCAGTATCTCCTTATTTCCAATGCCCTGAGATTAATTTTCTGAACAATAGATTGGAACAAATCTGTTTTCTTTCTTTTGTTCCTGCAGCTGACATATTGGATGCTGTGAGAGAGTCTGTCCAAAAATACAAAGCTTTCTATATTGGCAGCTTACCAGTATCTAAATCTATGGGTAGGTAGCTCTTAATGACTTCTGCAGCTTGTGTTTATAGCTGGCTTCATAATAGCTGTAAGGTGTACTGTGGTTCATTAGATTAGCCTTTCTACAGTTGTGAAACTAACTTCCACATGATAGGTTGCAATAGGTGGCTGATTTGTATGCTTACAGGAATCTGTGCCAGATATATGCAGAAAGGAATGTTTCTGTTGACGAGATTGCTGTTTAGTAATGCTTTCTTCTCTATACTGGATACATTCTAAGACTGGCCACATGAACGTCAGGTCTGAGTTGCAAATATGTGCAGCTATATGCTGGCCAGTAAATGGCAGCAAAGAGAAACTGTAAACTCTAATTTTCTGCAACTGAGATCTGGCAACTTGAATGGAAATGAAAATCCATTGGTTTTTGGTTTTGTTTGTATTGCGGTTTGCTCTTGAGTTAAAACCATGTAAGGAATCAGGCTGGGGCATAGATTTAATTGGGAAAGGCACAAGGAATGAAGAGTTAAATACTGTTTTTCTTTGAGGTTGTATTTCAGCTAAAAAATAAATGTGACAATCTATAATGAAGCCCTTTAATAGCTCTTTGTCACGAAATCAACAAGTTCATCATGTTGTCTTGCTATTGTACCTGCTACAAGTTTCCATGATGTGTTAATGGTGTAGGAATCCATTAAGGATAAAGAACTAGAAATGGTAAAAATCTCAGTGTTTGAAGTTAGCACATTCCTTTTGGGTAGATGGATATTTCTCTCAAACTAGCTGTTCTCTTGAAATATCTCAAAATGGACGGTTTCTTTAGTTACCTTTCTACATCTTTGGTCTTGGAAGGAATCTTAAGCAGCCAAATTGCCTTGACTGGAGTTCTGGAATTCAAACCCTGGATCCTGAAAGTACCTATTCTGCAGCTACTGGTGAAAAGTGGCTTGGCTTATTCGTTTCTTTCTTGCCTTGGCACTTTAGGGATTGATGTGCTAAACAATGCCATTGAAACTCTGATGGGCGGCCATAACCGTGAGCAGTGGATTCAAGCTGTGATTAGTGTTTCAGACTCAGTGATGCAAGCAGATCAAACTGAAGTAAGGCTCTTTGTGATATCGTACACAGTGGAAGCTTTCACTTCCCACCAAGTATCTGAGCAGAACCTTGTTGTCTGTCTCCTACATGTGCTGTGGCCTGCTTGCTCTGCATATCCCAGAAACCGAGTAACTGGCCAAGGAACTACTTGGGTGAAAAACTGGTAGCTGCAATTTTCCTCACCACCACTGGTTGAATGCTATTACCTAGAGCTGGGGTTGGCAGCCTTCTTCTGTATGGGGGCCAGAAGCCATGCTGCTGCCGCCGCCACCATTTCCTGAGGAGGCAGCAAGCACTCTCTCCCCCTCTGTTATGGGTCGGGTAAAAATATTTCTTTTTGGGACCAAGGTCTGGATGATTTTGGCTGGTGGGCACATCTGGCCCATGGGCTGTAGGTTGCTGACCCCTGATCAGCTTGCTATCAGACCTGGGGTGCAAAATCCATAATCTCCATAATCTCTAAAGTCCTGCATGTCTAACAGTATTTGATCATAAAAAGTATTGCTTTAATTAGTATTCATTAGGATTATTGCTTCTCAGTTCAGCTGATTATTTTGTCAATGGGACAAAAGTAGTAAGTGTTTTAAGGGTTTATTTAAGCATAATCAGAATAGATGAAATCTGGCAAAATTTAGCCAATTTTTATACTTTTGAGTGCCACTGATTTCAGGAGAAGAGAATTAGTAAGCTTAATTTAATCTGTCACTTTGTCTAGATTACAATGTACTTATATTCATATATTTTTAAAAAGCCCTGCTATCTTCAGTGTTTTTCTCCCCAGGGATATTTGTATATATTAGCAGCTTTATAGCAGAGTTATAGTGAAGTTTATTGAAATTAATTCTACTAAATTTAATAGAATTATTCCCTGGTCAGAAAGCTTAGGGTTCCAGCAGTAGTTCTTTAATCTGTGCTAGCCGTTTGCCATCAGAATTAAATGGTTTTGCCAAAGCTAAATATTTTAATGATCTATTGATTCCAGTGGGAGGGAGCAATGCACATAGTTAATTCTTCCACTGATGTCAGTTGGATTTTAATGTGCTTAGCTTTGTTTGTATCTTACAAATTCAACTGATTTCCTTTAGAAAATTAAGCACTTGCATTAATCTCTCCCACTGAGAGCTTTAATGTCCTTAACTTTGGTTGGGGTTTACATATAGTTCAACTTAATTTATTAAATATAGATTTGGAAAACCAATCACAAATGTTGAAGGATCATTCATGGCCTTTATTAACCTGCTCAGTAATACCAGTTTTCAGAGACGGTTGATAAATCCAGATACAGTTACCTCCGATTTGTTCCACTGATTTCAATGAGCTCTAAGTATTGCTTTCTTCAGAGTGGAACTTAGGTTTACAAAACAGCCATATTGGGTTATTCTTCCAATAACACTTATTTCTCACATATTGCATTAAGCTATAAACTGCAGATTTCAAGCCCTGTCTGCTGGATTTATACACCATAATGTGGTTTGTTTGAATTTGCCTTGGCAAAATTCAGCCATTGTGACTTGTAAGGCATAGTTTATAGTTTAGCACAATATCTGAGCACCACTGTCATTGATTTAATAATTTATGGTTAAAACAAACCATGGCTTACAGTTCTATGTAATCTAGCTGTCTGTCTCAAGATGTCCACCCCCCACCAAACCCAAAAGTAACTGCATCAGTTTTATGACGCTGGACACATAATCCATCTTTGTATTAGGAATGGGGATTTAAAAAAAAAGAAAAGGAAGAAGGTAGAAATATGATTTCTGTGTGAAGAATACCCAAAGCTTGCAGCTAGTACCTGGAGAACAACTGAAGTTAAATGCAATGAGTACTTATTTTTCTTTTTGTATTCTTAGTGTAATCTGACTGGATTCTTCTGTATTCTTTGAGGCTGAGGAGGAGGAAGATCCCTGCATTTGGGAATGCCAAGTCCGCTACGTGACTTTTATTGGGGTTGGGAGAGATGCCCACACGTTTGGACTCATTGCTGACATGGGGAAACAACGTTTCCAGTGCACAGCCTTTTGGTGCGAACCAGATGCTGGAACCATTTCAGAAGCAGTACAGGCCGCGTGCATGGTAAATGCTGTGAGAGTAAAATAAACCAGAGCAGATTTCATGAAACATATTGTTCATCTAAAGAAACTTCCTCTTAAACTTGCTTACATTTTACCTTCCTACCCCTCTCAGTTCCACTCCCCATCAAACAGAAGCCATTGTTTTCTGCCTCAGTTCTCACCGTTTTTAAAATGCTTGAAGATAAAAAGTTTGTTTGTTTGTTTGTTTATTTGTCACATTTATAGAGCCACCCATCTCACACAAAGCGACTCATGATACAAAGATCAACAAGTCATGTCCAAAAGACAAAATTATGACTGGTTATCACCAGCCAGAATAAACCACCTGAAATATGCTAGTCTGTCCAACCGAGGAGTTCTAAGCCATTCTGCCAGAACCCTTCCCTACAGCCTAGCTCTAAGAAAAAGAGAAAGAAAGACCTTAATGGAACATTATAGAGCATCCCAAGAATCAGTGAAAATCAGTCTTTTTGTTGAGATCATTGTTTGGTATAATAATGTTATGCACCATATCTGACAATAAGGGTCTAGCCAGAAAATCAGAATATCACCTAATAATTGAACTTAGCTTCCGTTATTAGGTGAATTATAAAATATCTGGTCAGTTCCATCTGAAGAATCCTGTATGCAATTTTGGATGAGTATTTTCAATTTAAATTCAGGTTTCTCCAAATAACTTACTGGATTGTCATATTCTTACATGATAAGGATAGCCGCTAACAGCACCTGGCTGATCTTGAAAAAGCTAAGCAGGGTTGGACCTAGTCAAACTTGAATGGGAGATCACAAGGAATCTTAGATCTGTAGGCTAGCTTGAGAAAGGAAGAAAGGAAGACATTGCAGAAGAAGGCAATGGTAAACTGTTGTCATATTATATCTTTTAGTCACCGGGCAATTGAATGAGTCTTTGCCATTATATCATAGGGAGAAGAGTTTTAGGACAAAAAAGGACTACAAACATTAACTACGTTTTTTGTAAGCTATGACTGGCTATATCATCTCTAAATTCACTGTAATTTATGTGTTTCTTTGATAGGTCCAGTATCAAAAGTGCTTAGTGGCTTCTACATCACGAATGAGATCAAAAAATAGTTCACACTCCATCATGAAGCTGAAAAGGACAATGTCGCTTGACTCGCCTGTATGTCCATTTCCCATCACAGGACCCTCCTTGCAGAAAACTAGCAGCGGGGCCACGACACGCAAGAAGGGCGTGTTCTCTTTCTTTGAAACATTCCGCCAAAAACATTCCATGCTACACACCCCCTAAGATGGAAACAAAGTCTGGTGGTCCCAGATGACACTTAATGACAATGTCCTCTGATATCCAGGCTAAGAATGTAAATAGCATAATTTTGTCTGTTAACATCTTTCACTGAAGTGAAAACAGCCAATACATCCAAACAAGACTGGATCCTAAAGGAGGGTCCTGACAGATTCTGGAGATTCTGCTATGCATATTTCTTCCAGTCCTTTGCTATATAGATGCTCTAAGGAAGAGGTGAGCTTGTTGGAGGGGTGGGGGGTGGGGTGGGGTGGGGAGAAGCAATGCTGCACAAGAATATTTGAGGATGCTGCTTGCCACTAAGAGCACTTGTCACATTCACCACGTAAGCTTAAAATCTTGCTCTGATTGCCCAGGTATTGATAGGTCGAGCAAAGCAGCCAATTCATCTTCTTCATATAGTAACAATACATGATTTTATATAATTAAAGCTGTGGACATTTCCACAATTCCCTTCCTAGCTGTAGTTTGAACTCTTGGAATACAGGCTCAAGAGAAGAAAGAAACTGCTGAATCTCTAGATACATGCTTGAATTAGTATGAACTCCTGATCTGTGAGACAGAAATACAAATGAATTTATCCCGGGAAAACTAATAAATAATTGACATCAATGTTGATGCCATCCAAATGTGTTTGTACTACAAATCCTAAAATTTCCAGTCAATAATTAGTAATACTTTAGCAATCCGTGCACAGTTCTCATCATTGTACTATTTTCCCCTTCTGAATCAAAATTTTGTTTACTTGGTAAAGTCTGTATTCATCTTTTAACATTTGAACATTGTCAGTAAGTAATGTTGCCAGTCAGGCAGACACTGGGAAATAACTGTTCTGAAACAAGCGCCTGACCATAGTAAGCAGATCTGATGGTGCACATAATCCTAGTGCTTTCTAACAAAATATTTGTAAATGAACTCTGAATGCATAGTGTTAGCACACATGACTGTCCTTTATAACACGGCCATTATACCAGTCTGACACTTGAGTTGGAAGCATCTATCTAGACATCAGACCGTCATTTGATGATCCAATGCTGGTGATTCATACAAGAGAGAAATAATAATAATGAGAAAGAGTTCCCTTTGGATTTCTTTTTCAAAAAATATAATATTGAAAGCCTGGTGTACTAGTATTGTGAAAATGACTACTAGATCCCATATATATGTCTAAAAATGAATGGGTGACACTGGTAGGAAAAAGGACGGATCTCCAAATGCATTGCTTTCCTTTCAGTTTTGTGCCTGATGTAATTCAATTTCTTTAATCTAATAAGTAATCCTGGATTAAGATAGACTCAAGTCTACCTCAGTGATACTTTTTATCTATCTATATTGTGCAAATAAAGTACTAATATGGATTAAAGCTATATTTGCTTTATGTTTGGTCTCTGTCTCCAGACACTTCTACTGCTGCTCAAATGAGTAGCTGAACACATATAGCATGAATGAACCAAATTTTGCTGAATTGGAACCAACAATTTTAGACAAAGCTATTAGAACAGCTAAACATAATGATACAAGACTTGTCCTTGATACTTCAGCCTTTTACAATGATTTCACCACTTCATTCAGGACAAATATTAAGCCAACAGATGTGTAATTTCCTTAGTTCCCTCCTTAGAGACATTTGTTACCATTTACATATAACCCAAGGAAGCATCATTTTTTATAAATAATAATTTTATTAGTGATGTGTAACAAATTAAATAAAAATAATACATAAGTAATAATACACTTTTAAAATGTGATTTAATAGTATTACTAATATTTTAAATACTAAATACTAATACATTAGAATTACATACATTATGGTGATTAAAATAACTAAACCTATGGGGGGAAAAGAATTATGAAAAATTCATTAAGATATATGAATATAAAATTAATTAAATTATTTGACTTATTGCATCTAGACCATATAAAACATATTGCTCCATCTTCTCATTTTTAGAACATAAAGACATTTCAGGCATTGATGAAGAACGCATATCTGAAATGTATTTTTTAACCTGAGAAGTATAAATTTCTTTGCTCAGCCCCAGACTCGACAAGCCCAAAGTTCTTCATAAAATGTCAAGTACCATAATTTAAGAGTATAGGTCAACAATACATTTAACTACTACTTTCCCCCACCCCCCAAACTATGTTAATGTATGTTGTAGCTTGAAACCAAATGAGAGCCATAACTGGTCATGACCAAATCATGTGTGTCAAAGAGCCCTTAAATGTCTTACGTCAGCAGTGTTGACTCCTAGCGACTGTCTGGACAAGTCCCTGCAGTTTTCTTGGCAAGATTTCAGAAGTGGGTTGCCATTGCCTCCTTCCTAGGGCTGAGAGACAGTGACTGCCCAACGTCACCCAGCTGGCTTTGTGCCCAAGACATGGTCATGGTCTCCCAGTTTTTAGCCTGGTATCTTTTTTTTTTAACCTGGTATCTTTACCTGGTTTTGGTATAATTAATATAAGCCTGATTAAATGCCTCTGATAATATTCCCTTATCAAGTATCTCATCAGACAACTGACATTTGGCACCAAAAGATCTATAAATGTTTATACCATTCTATAGGAAATCCAATGGAGGCAAATATGTATAGCTCAGGGTTGAACTGTGGAGTTCTTGGGGTTCTCTGAGTTTGGTTCTTTTCTTGCAAATGTTTCATTACCCGGCTAGCTAATATCTTCAGTGCTAAAATGGGATGGGGTTTGCTCTCTATTTATATCCTGTGGCATGCTTTGCCAGTGCTGGTGGGGGTGGGGGTTCTGTTTTGCTCTTCTGGTAGTTCATTGATTGGCATATGTTGACTGCTTGATTGTGTGCCTGGTGGTGACCTTCGGTTATCTGGGTGATGATTGCAGGTGAGGCGATCTTCTGATCTTTTGTCTCTTTCGAATAGTATGTAGACGCTGTTTATCTCTATGTGTCTGTTAATTGCTGCCTTGTCTGAAT